CCGAGGTCCTGTTGGAGCCGATTTCCGAGAGTTGACTCTGCCGGAAGGATCGCCCGCAGAAATGACTTCTGCGTGGTATCTCGTCAGAGGGTCTTGTACACTGTAGACTCCGCCGAGATCGCTCCTACGAAATCACATATTTCTGTAGAAGCCATTTGCAGAAAACGCACTCCTGTTCTGCCACTACGACAGAACCGCTTTTCTGCCGCATAGACGGAAATGCTCCTTTGCCACTTCAACTCCGCCACTTGCATTTCTAGAAGTCTCGCCTTGTCAACAAATCTGCTCTTTGTCGACTGGCCATTCCGCAGAGCCTTCGTGTTCGCAGACTTCGTTGATACGCCGCTTCAGCAGACTTCTGCAACCTTCACAAGATCAGGGGGGGGACCCTGCGGGGGAGAACCACAACCCGAGGACAGGGAGGACAAAGGGGTGGACGTGGGCTCCGGCGAGCGACGACGGGCGCTGCAACCTTCCGCGGTGAGCGGCGCCGTGGAGCAACCCCAACAGAGGAAGCACAACACGCTAATTGAGAGGTAGAGATGGAAGCAGGCAGTCAAGGGGGGTGGATCGAGGGGAGGAAATCCGGCCAAGTGACGAAACTCCTGCAGCAGACACACCAGGTGGAGGAGCTACATGGGGAGTAGCGGAAGGGAATACAGAGGAAGCAGATGAGGAGGACGATGAAACTCAACACGCAAAAAACTCCATTTACACTGAGGGAAAAAACTGTCCGGATGCAGGGGATCTATTGCGTTTTTTAGCCATAATTTCAGAGAATGATTAAGCCTTAATGTGAGAACATTCTTGTGTCATGGGCACATGTAGTCTCAACTCTGTCCCTTGGTGTTAGCTCGTTCACCTCATACAAACATGCTCAGTTCACATTATACATACAAGGTCATCATCCGGACAGTTTTTTCCCTTGTCACCAAAAGATCTACTAATCCAGATTCTAGTAGCTAGTCCATCTTCCCCCAGCCTTGATCACAGCACGCACACGCTTCGGCATGCTGTCTATGAGCCTCTTGCAAAAATCCGCGGGAATCTGCTCCCACTCCTCTTGGATCCGCTCCCAAAGTTCCACCATTCCTGATGGTGGCTGCTCGTACTTGGACAGCTCCTTTTTGAGGTGAGCCCAGAGATTCTCGATCGGGTTAAGATCGGGGGAGGAGGAGGGCCAGACGAGCACGGAATAGTCCTGCTCCCCAAGGTATTCCTGCACTAGGCGACACTTATGCTTGGGGTCGTTATCATGCTGGAAAATGACTTTACATGGCGTGAGGCTATAGAACTCGATAGTGGATGTGAGTTCATCCTGTAAAATGCTGCGATACAATGGCCCATCCATCCTCCCATCTATCTTGCACATAAAACCCGCGCCGTCATAGGTCAGGCATCCCCACACCATCACAGAACCCCCTCCATGCTTCACCGTTTGTCGGATTTGATGGCTCTGCAGGTTGTTGCCGTCGCGGATCCAGGCGTATGCGCGGCCGTCCGAGCAAAACCGATTTATCTTGCATTCGTCGGACCAAATAACGCGCTTCCAGTCCTCAAGCGTCCAGTCTACGTGCGCCCTGGCAAACTCCAGCCTGTCCCTAATGTTCTGCTTGGACAGTCGCGGTTTCTTCGGTTGCGATACTGCGACTAGACCAGCTTCACGAAGAGAATTCCTAACTGTCTTGGGGCATACGTTAACATCGTGTGCTGTTCCTAGCATTTTCGCCGCGTCAACGCTCGTTTTCGCCGCGCCACTAGTAATAGCTCGAATAACGGTGCGCTGGAGTCGGGGTGATATAACACGTGGCCTTCCACCTGGCGGCATTGTGGGTCGCACCTCTTCGCGGCTAGTCTCACCGATGACTTTGAGACCGTAGTCATGGACGGTGCTTTTACCTACACCTAAATCTTTCGCTATTTTCCGCACGCTAACCCCCTTGCGCAGAAGCTCGATAATACGTGCTCGTCGCTTCTCATCGACCGGCTTCATGGCGTCTGGACCGTGTGCGGACTACGGGGCTACGGAGCGGCGGCGAGAAGTTCGCTAGATCGAGACCTAATTTAAGACCGGTGGCGAATGTAGATGTCGAACGTCGATCGGAAAAAACTGTCCGGAAGCAGTCCATCTTGCAAAGCCTTATCATACGTTAGACCTCTTCGTTATTACAAACCTCAACTCGGTGGGTTCATGAATATACGCACTGTTATACACACAAGGAAATTTGTGGAAACTTATTGTTACCATAACAGGCAAAAATTGACCGGCAAAAGCCTAAACCCATTTATCCGGACAGTTTTTTCCCTCAGTGTATACTCTTCCAATTGGGGTAAACTCAGAAGGCGCCCCGGACGAGGGAGAATTCGAGGACTCCCCCGCCCGAGACGCAAATGGGCGGCCCGGCCAATCCAATCGGTGACCCGCCACATCCAACACCCGCCGTGGCTCGGCAGTCCCTCGCAGATCTACCCCTGCAGCGCGGGTACAATCCCCTCCGACATTGGCGAAAAACGATGAAGTCTTCACCAAAGGGTGCGAGTGGGATATGACCATGCTCCGCGACTCCAGACTCCCACCCCTGACATATCGCCTACCATGCAAAATCCTGGCGGGGTTTGCGTCCTGCCTACTGACAGCACTGCTGCACCTCGCGCGTAAGGGACAGCAGAGGGGGTTGGCGCCTGTTACTCCTCTCTTATCTGACCCTCACGACTACGTCAATGAGAAAGCCTGACTGAAATGGGATGTTGCGACGTTGTTGAAAATTCGCCACTGGCACCTGGGAGTCACTGTACGACGAGGCTGTTACCTCGATCTCTCTACCACGACCCCCCCGTCACGCGAATGACACCGCCGGGCAATTAGCCCGAGAAGAAACACTCACAAAGCGCGGGAACCTACGGAAGGCCCTCCAAGCCCTGTGTGCGAACCCACTCTGGAGACACTTAACGCCCTCCGAGACAAACACCGCGCTGCCGAACACGCCCTCCCCCGCTAGACGACATTTGAGGGCACATCACCCACTGACGTTGTCCCAGCACCGCAGCCGCCGCGTCTCAGCATCACACCACTGGAGCTCAATGTCATACTACAACGCAGCCCGAATGGGGTAGGGGCGGGGCCCAGCGGAATGTGTTTCGAGCACCTGAGGGACGCCGCCGCGTCGAATGCCGACATTCTGAACCTGCTCACTGAAGCGACCAACGGGGCACTCGCAGGGCAAGTGCCGTTGGAGGCAGCAGACCTCCTCACTGCCTCGAGACTGCTGGCATTCACCAAGCCTGATGGCGGCACCAGGCCCATCGCCATCGGCGAGTGCCTAATACGCCTCTTCGGCAAGGCAAGCCTGCACCTCACGACGGCCCTGGCCTAGGCCCACTTTGCGCCCCTACATTTCGGAGTGGCAACGAAGGGTGGCGGAGAAACGGCGGTGCACGCCACAAGAGCCCACCTCGAGCAGCACCCCGAACACCTGCTCCTCCAAGTGGACCACTCCAACGCGTTCCACTCCGTCGAACGCATAGCTTTTTTCCGCGCCCTACATGACAGTGCGCTCAAGGGCCTGATGCCACTAACCCGCCTCTCCTATGGAAGGCCATGAAGCCTGCTGCTCGACCACGCCTTCGGTGTTGAACCGCTCATCAGCGAACGGGGCGTACGGCAAGGCGACCCGCTGGGCCCCCTGCTGTTCGCCCTCGCCCTCCACCAGGGGCTGAGCACCACAGCAGAGCAGTACCCAGACGTCCTCCTCCTGGCATAAGCCGACGACATGACCATCATCGGCCCGCCGCCGGTATGCGCAGCCGCCTTCTACACCCTCACGGGACGGGCGGCACATGTTGGACTCACCTACAACGCCAGCAAATGCGTAGCCTGGTCACCTGCACCGGTAGATCCCATGATCATCCTCGCTGGAGTACCACTCACCCATGACGCAATCAAGGTCCTGGGCAGCCCTATCGGCACCCCTCACGGATGGGGGGACATTATCTGCCACACACTGGGGAAAGCGGCAGCGGCTCTCCCCTTGGTACAGCAGCTGCACCCGCAGGTCGCGCTGCTGCTCCTCACCCGCTGCATCACGAGGAGAGCATCTTACCTACTCCGCACCACCCCCACCGACCTCCTCCTCCCCGAGGAATGGACACAGTGGGGGAAGACCCTGCTGGAAGCGGTGCTCAAATCATGCGACCTACAGCAGCCGCGGGATGCTGAGGGCCAAGATCTCCTCTGGCGACAGGCGACCATGCCGATCACCATAGGAGGCCTCAGCCTCATTGACCCTGCCGCGGAAGGCAGCTACAGCTACCTGGCCTCCGCACTCCAGGCGGGCGACCTCCTCCGCTCCATGGAACCCCCCGACTCCTCACCCCTCGCTGGCCTCCTCCACCTCCTCACCCCACCCTTCACCGCCCAAACGCCCCTACATCACCTGCTAAGCAGCCTGGAAGCGACACTCCCCGAACTAGCGCAAACAACACTCAACCACCCGCGCGACGAACCTGGCGCCAAGCTCCAGCATGCCCTAGCACTGGAGGTGCACGGGGCCAGGCACGCACGGCTAGTGGTAGTCCCCAGACGCATGCCACTCAACCCCCTCCTGGGTCACACCTAGCGCTTCCTCTCACTGCTCAGGCCGGGGGCAGGGGACTGGCTGGCCGCCATCCCCTTCTCCCCGGACCTAAGCATGCGCAAAGGGCAATTTGCCACGGCCCTAGCCTTCCGCATGGGCCTGCAGCATTCCCTACCCGGCAAATGCAACTGCCGGGAACAGTATACGATTCTAGACAACCGGCTGCCCAACCACATGCTGCGATGCACCTTGGGGGTCCGAAGCGGACCCACGACGCACTCATGAACCTCAGGATGTGATTGGCCAGAGAATCCCACTTCGTGGCCCACATGGAGTCTCTACTTACCCGAAACTGCCCAATGTCGTGCCGACATCACCCTCCGATGCCCGGACATAGGCGCAGTGTGGGTCTGTGACGTCACAGTCACCGACCCCATCTCACCCAGTGACCCAACAACACGAAAGGGGAATGGGTGGATGGTGGCAGAGATGCAGGGCAAGAAGCGGGACCTGTACGATGAACGAATAACCTTCGTGAAGGTGCTGGGAGTCGCCACAGAGACATATGGCTGCTGCTCCCCCGACACACTCGAGTTCCTCCGAGTACTGGCTGCCCTCTCAGCCCGCCGGAACAACAAGGCCGATGAGAAATCGGCGGTGGCAAAGAAGGTACTGCACAGCTACCGCCAGAGATGGTCTATCACCCTCCAGCGGCAGCAAGCAATCACCCTCCATGTGAAAGTTAGCCAGGTAACAGGCCAAGCTTTCAGCCACGACCGCCCCCTAGACAAACCCCTTGCCTGGGGAGAACTAGAGGCCACCATTGAACCTACCTGCGTCGGGTGGCCTGGGCAGCAGTAGGATGCCCGGGAGCCCTAGGACATGCATCGCCCCGCTTGTACCCCTGTACCCTTTATAATCATAATAAAGGACCGCTTGAGAGAGAGAGAGAGAGAGAGAGAGAGAGAGAGAGAGAGAGAGAGAGAGAGAGAGAGAGAGAGAGAGAGAGAGAGAGAGAGAGAGAGAGAAGAGGATGGCAACGAGAGAGGGGAGGGGTTAGAAAAAGGGCAACGGTAGGGCAGCTAAATGGAGCTCTACAATTACTCCTTGGATGCTTGATGGAGCTCGTGGAGAACAATTCCCAGCGATTTTTGGAACAACTTGATCTTTTGCGAAGCCCGCATGTGCTTATCAGGTTTTGGCAATATGGCAAGGAGTACTTTCCCTGTGTTCTGCCAATGTCGGTGCCATGGAATATTGGCTGCAGATATGTACACGGGTCATATCTTGGTTCGCATTGTACCATCGAGAGTCGTCTGGTCACTTGCAAGGATCATTGGACATATAACTTCGCCATCCGGCACACAGACCTCCTGGACGCAAACCATTATTGTAGGAAAATGTTCCAGCATTGGGACAAGGCAGGTGGCATTACAAAGCCAACATAGACCACAAGCAAAGGGCGTGTAGCATCTAGTCACAGAGGCTAGGATAGGCAACCCCGATGTCTATCTTCCAACAAATGGGAGGGGGCCGACGGGTGCAAGGCGTGGACAATCTGTTGCAGTAGGCAATACAAGAACAGCATAAACACCTGAGCTTCCACCCGGAAGCTTGCAGTGCTGGGCGTTGTAAAAATGAGATTGCCAATGGCATCTTTTTGTGGATTGGCCCATATTTGGAACCCGGTTGTATTGCTGGAATATCCAAACAGGTCCCGCAAAGCTAGTACGAGGCTAGTATATTTAACATAGAAGGGCCACTGCCAGCCATCGATGTGCACCTCCCGAATAGTGTATGTCCTCCCACCAAGCCCCGTGGTAACAGTGTCTGGCCATACTCGATGGCCGCTGGCTTTGAGTGTCAGTTGGCGATTCTAGACAAATGTTTATCATTAGCATGCAGAACTTGAGAAGTCGGCAGGTGTCAGGAGCCGACAACTGATTGCCTCTGTTATACGCCATAATGAGGAGATATAACTCGAGAGCCATATCAAAGGATGGTGTTGGGTTGTATCCGTGCTCGCAAGTACTCCTCCCTTTGCTGCCACTGTCACTGGAATGGCCAGATTCGCTCCTCTGAGCAGAGCTTGAGGTGGTTTGCATGTTAGGTGGCTCAATGGGTGGGCTTCTGTTGTTGTGGCCAAGTGGTGCCCTGGATTGGCAGGCACGATCATCGCCTGGTGGGTCTACAAACGTGGCATATGGCCCTACGAAAATACCCAACTTGAAGCTCCGTTCCTTAGCCAAGCGGCAATCCTCATCCGTAATCGTGTGCGACCATAGCGGGCCACAACCTCGGAACGAACAGCCACACCATTCGCACAGAACCTTGCAGCATTTCATGCTTATAGGTCACGTGGCATGTTGCTGTAGGCTAACATGCGTTAAAGATCTAGGATGGCACCCTTGCTTGGCAAGAAGAACGAGGATACCTACTACGGATAGAGTTAATAGACCGACTCGCGACACCTCCATGGCTGAACGCAAGAACCTAATCTAAACCGCCATCCTATGGAATCGTGTGCTGTGAAATCGAGCTACAAGCTAAGAAATTGCAAGTATCGAACACGCTGTGTATTGTCGCGGACATCGGGACTTCAGTGTTGGGAGGACTAGATGTGATATGAGGAAAGTTTTTGGCGCAACTAACGTGGGTAAACACCCCACCTATATGTCAAATACAGGGATGCTTCGTAGTGAGATATAATGGAGTTACGATCCCCAACAACGGATTTGAGCCAGTTAGCTACTCAACTGTATAGCTCGTGACATGTCCAGAGGCTCTGGGCAATGCCGTTGAGAATCCACGCCACGTTATGCGGCACGCATTTATTAAACCTTCTAAATCCAGCCCCCCCCCCCCCCTCCCCCCTCCTTCGAACGCCGTAAAAATTGTGGCACGTATCTAGAGCCTTGTTTTGATCTGTTTAGCATGCACAAGTCAGCTGCAGTGAACACCAACCACTGCCCCGAACATAATTTGAGCCCGAGGTTACAGCCACTGAGTATTCGGGTACACCTAGAACTGTAGTATTTGCATTCGAGGGCAACACAGCTGCCCCAACTACAATTCGCTCTAGGAGGAGCACTCGCATTAAGCCGACCATAAGCTCGTGTTCCAATCTGACGTGCGGTGACGCAAGAAACACGACCCTTTGTGTCATGTGCTCGTGGCGACACCTAAATTTCGTGCAGCCAACCCTGGTCATCACATGAAGGGCACAAAATGTGTATTACAGCGTAGCTTGTCGTTCAGGTGTTTTGCCGCGTAGCCAGATGGCACAGTGCAGGCATCGTGAGCGCATCTGCAATTCCAAATCCGGAGCAAGGTCACCCAATGCCTTGGGCACCTATTTCAGCTCGAGAAATGTCAGATGGAAATCAGGTTTGAGGATTTTCCACATTTGCAGTAACGTAGCTACCAGGCCAGGTTTTACGAAGAAAAGCAGAGAAGCTATGGCTGAGGTTGGAAAGCGCAAGCGGAGCTCAGAGTCTAACTCTTGAAGAACCAGGACGGTACTTCAGCAAACGTTTGCATGGAGAAATAGGGAAATAACCGCTCTACTGATGCAGCGAAAGTTTGTGAGCTGCCACTACCAAGATGTGGAACCAACACCCAAACTTCTACTGGCAGCACTAGAGCCACTCAGCATCTCCGACACTGGAAGCGCATCAGAGAAACGTTCTCGCTGTGAAATCAATGCAAGGAGGATACGCACCAGACAAGGGCAAGCTAACTTGGATTTCATACACAAGAAAATTGTAAACGCTTTGTATGCTTACGAACTTGAGGGCAGTGCAAATACCGATACAGCATGATTCATTGCACTCATAAAGGATTACCGGTCCGTCAACTTCCATGCAACAACCTGGGACGATCTCATAAAACCGATGCCATATGATGCTGATTTCGATGATTTTCTATTGCTCTTTACCGGATGGTTACGGCATCCCCCTAGGCGCACTTGCACATGCGCCGGGCCTACTTGCTCCATGGGAAGAAAAGCCAACCCCACAATCACTACACCCTGTTCCTGGCAAACCCAACGCATTTTATTGCATACCTGCCCTTCCCGAGTTCCCGTGTCTCAAGGACCAATCGTTTCATACGAAAGGATTCGACACATACTCATTGGATGATGAATTCAATCCTCGTTCCAAAAGTCAGCCTCTAGGCTTTAGGAAGGTTGCGCCAATACGTAGATGGTATTAGGTCTATCAACAAGGCTGCATAACCTTCACTTTGACTTTTTTTGCAGTGTGTGTGTTTTTTTTTTGTGACTTTTTTTTTATGTAAAGTACACTTTTTGAATTCCCCCCCATTTGCTGGAATTTGATACCATTACCCAACTGCCCAGTGTCAAACTGGGGTGACCACGTAGGCTGGTCATGATCCACTTTGTTCACGTTACAGCACATGTTGCCATATCATGTGGACGTGGGCTGGCTTCGTATGCTCGTGAACAATTGCCCCTTATTATTATCAGTTGACTCCAATCGGCTAGCCGGGCACTGGAATTCGACCACTGTCCAGCAAGGCATAGGTAGCTTTCTTGGATTGCAATCCAATCTTGCTGTTTCTAAAGGCACGCCTCTAGTGCCTTCTTGAATGGCACACACCATATTACGTTTATAGGATCATCACTTCTTCATTCTTGCATGACACATCCCTCCACTGGTTGCAAACTCTGTGTTAGTGCTTTCTTGAATAACACCTCATCCTTGCTTTCTTGATAATCTCGCCAGTCTGAAGGTGTTTATGATACAGACATCAACCTTCTAACCTCCCTCTCGGCTCAACCATGCAATCTCGTTAGATTGCGACCATGCAAGCTCGTTAGATTGCGCAACCCCTTATCCCTCTTATAGTTGCAGCCCGCATGCTTTCCTGCGTAGACCGCATAGGCTCGCAACCCTTCGAGGTGAGAGGCTCTAGCCCGGTTGGCTGATCAGCACCATGTCCACATTGTGGCAATCATTATGTCGAGGAGCCGGCCGTTCCACGAGGTGGGGTGACTTCGAGGTCTATGAGTCGCCATCAACCGGGCATGTTGTACGCACTGGGCATGCCGGACTAATAGAGTCGTCAGAGAGCTTCCACGGAAGGGATTCAGGCTTCATGTCATTCGCAAGTGAACTCAAAGGGCACAGTATGGCATGAGAAGACGAGATAGACACAACGGGGGATGACAACGAAGAGATGACGGCGGGTAAGTGAGCAGGGTAGGCACGCTAGAGTGGGACAGGGAGGGTTGAGGGGGAGAGGGAGGTTGGAATGTTTTTGGGGGTGGGAAAGGGGAGAAGGGCAGCGGTGTTTTGAGCACCCTGAGGGCATTCGTGTGTAAGAATTTAAATTATTTGCATGATAAGACTGAGCTTTGTCCCATACTTTACAAGATGTGGTATGGGGTGCTTTAACTTGCACACTAGCTGCCCCCCTCTCAGCGTGCATCCCTTGGCCCCCGTGTTTCTCACCAGGTGGAACACCACCAAGGAATGAGCGTCCTTTGGCTGAGATGACTGCCTGCACCGCTCCTCCAGGCACTCCAATACTAACGCACTTCACAGGGGACCTGGCAGCGGCAGCGGCAACTGCAACAGCCACAAGAAAACAGGGAGCGCATAAGCATGCAGCTGCGTGTGAACCTGCCCATTCCAAGTGTGGTGACCGTACGCCTGTCACTCAGCCCCCGAGCTTCGTGCAACTACAGCAAGAAAACGAGGCTTAAAAAAAACGCTGGTGGGAGTCACAGGCGAGGGCAACCAGAATCGCGGGTCACCATGGTGCGAAGCCACATGGGCATCGGCGCCACAAGGCACGTCGGCTGCACACCTCACCAACTCGGGATGATGGTGCTGGCACACATCAGCAGCCAACGAATCTCAACCATTGTTCAATGCCGGCCGCTGTAGCGAGGGCAGTCGATTGTGAGCTGCATCGTCGGGGTGGCACTCATTGGCAGTGGGATGTCAACAGGATGCGCACTGAATGGCCTGACAGGATGGAATCCGCTCTAAAGACCATACCCTATGTGTACTCAGGATTTAAGGTGTGTAGTTACGCTACTTCTTGACTCCGGTTTCCACACATGTGGCTGTTGTGTTACATGTGGATGCAGCTTTTGGTGTCATCTTCCACCTTGCCACCAGCACCTGCCCTCTTGCACCTTGCCTCCGTGCCCTGCCCTGTTGCACCTTGGCACGTGCATCTGCCCTCTTGCACCTTGCCACCAGCACCTGCCGTCTTGTGCCTTGCCACCAGCACCTGCCCTCTTGCACCTTGCCACCAGCACCTTGTTGGAGATAGGCTGCAATTCGGTTGGCACAACTTCGTGTGTTAGGAATTTGTTGGTTTTAGGGTTAGGCATATTTGTTAGGTTGGGTGTAGCTTTGTTTTCATCCCCAACCTATCCCAACCCAATCCATCCCAAATCCCCTCCGATTTGGGGGGATTCCCTTGGGATTCCCTCCAATTCTCCCTTATCCCTTCCCATCCTCTCTGATGCTCGGTACTTAAGGTTGTATGCTCTTGCTCATTCATCAATGAAGCTCTCATTTTATAACACACCTACCCTCTTGCACATTGCCACCAGCTCCTGCCCTCTTGCACCTTGGCCTGTGCACCTGCCCTCTTGCACGTTTCCACCAGCACCTGCCCTCTTGCACCTTGGAGCCAGCACCTGCGCTCTTACACCTTGCCACCAGTACCTGCCCTCTTGCACCTTGCCACCAGCACCTGCCCTCTTGTGCCTTGCCACCAGCACCTGTCCTCTTGCACCTTGGCACGTGCACCTGTCCTCTTGCACCTTGCCACCACCACCTGCCCACTTGCACCTTGGCACGTGCACCTGCCCTCTTGCACCTTGCCACCAGCTCCTGTCCTCTTGCACCTTGCCACCAGCACCTGCCCTCTTTCACCTTGGAGTCAGCACCCGACCTTATGGATCTTGCGACCAACACCTGCCCTCTGGTGCCTTGCCACCAGCTCCTGCCCTCATGCACCTTGCCTGCTGCACCTGCCCTCTTGCACCAAGGAGCAAGCACCTGGGAAAACCAACGGAGATGGGGGGGCACGGAAGCTTGCAAGAAAATGGCTGATAGCGTGTCTAGCGAGCGAGCGGAAGGGTTACAGTGGGAATGTGGCAATCTCAATTTTGCTGGCAATACTTGTACATAGAAATACGCTCAGATCCCGCCCTTAGACTGAGTGGGTAACACATGGTAGAGGCCATCGCAGAGTTGTCATTCCTGGGCTGCACATAGCGGCAATGGATACCTTGGCGCCGGACGTCTCATTCCAGGCAGGGAGCTTGGGCTTTCGCACAGCGGGATCAGCGGGTCAGTGCAACGCGGGGGCTGACATGACCGCATCTCACGGCTATTATATTCGCCTCCATTCATCCACCTTATACCGTGAGCGGCATCCCTGATTATGTACCCTCATGCCCCTCCCATCACATTATTATTCTACCTCCCAATCTTATGTCCATCTTGCACTCCTTTTCATCCATCCTGCCTATGGTCGATTTTGCATCTCCTTCCTCAAATCCCCTGCTACCCCCTTTTTACAAGGGCACGGCCGGTCCATGTGATGGCAACATAGTCCGCCCCGCGAGTGCGTCTAGCGTCTCAGTTGTCGTCGTGTCTGTACCGAGGGTGGCGAAACTGTACCAGGGGGGGGGGGGGGGGGGGGGGGGGTTGATCTTCTTCAACGATTTTCACTAGCACGCATGGCGGGAACCTAGGAACTTGCTTTGGCCGTCGAATGAGAGCAATACGACGCCTGTGGCGTATGTGTTTGGGAGACTTCGGCGGGATTTGGGGAATCCGACCTGCAAAATCAAATGTGAAGCATAGGTGATGCTCATACCCTGTACACACCGTCCTCTTATTTGACAAGATGACTTCCACACATTTTACAACACCTCGAACTACCAATTCCCCCTCATATATACCATAATAATAGCGTAACCGAAAAGAAGCGCACGTTGGTAATATCTACAATCGCGTCGTGACAGTATTGAAGGGCTAAATTTAGTCACAGTGTGAATATACCGTAAATGTCTCTTGACAATACTGAAGGCTCATTTTTGTCACGGTTAGCCTGGTTAATATACCATCTACTTGTATGCGTCGATCTCTGTACTCTAAACGCCCACGCACTACCGAATTTGCGGGGCGTATTCCTTGCGTGTTTGGTGGGTGCTGCAGCGCAGTGCTGAAAGAATGCAAAGGGCTTCTTTGTGCACACCCTGGTTTTCGAGCACGAAACTTTGGGATGCCATCGCTGCAGTCAACTTTCTCCGCCGTAACGCCGCTGTAGGATCATCCCAAGACAATGCATTGGTAGCTTGACTACCCATCGGGACGCGACGTAGTACTGTACTTGACAATGCAGTGGTAGCTTTCCCGTCCTACCTACTAGGTCTGACTGTACCCTCAGTCGATCGCCAAAGGCTCAGGGCTCAGGACACAGCGTCGCGTTTCGAACACCACCTGCGAGGTGCTAGTAACGAGATGTTCTTAACAATGTTCCTACCCCGTCGGGCAAAACGGCAACTTCTCCTCCTGCTCGTTTTCCTCTCCCTCGCAGCAACCCGCCTTGCTCCCGCCTTTGGTACACCCATTTCACTCGGGCTCTTCCCACTTTCGCCCTTTCGACTCTCGCGTCCCTCGCTCCTCTCTATCTACCGCAACAAGAAAGATGGCTCTCAAAATAAGTAGGCTCGCACTCTCTTTCGTGACTTGAAAGGGCGTGAATCTACTCACGAACGCCTCACCAGAGTTTTCCTCTTTGACTGCACTCTCGTCCTTCTCTCCTCTTTCCCTCCCCTCTAACTCTCCGCTTCTAACGCGGATGCTCAAGCTCAACCTTTGCGTTGCTCCTCTGCTCTCCTCGCCGCTGGCTTCTGACCCATTCAGACGAGGACTCCCCTCCACCACACGATTCACCGCCATCAGAAGTATCAACGGCCACTGTTTCCGAACCTGATCCGAAGCCTGATGCTGGGTCCGACTCCAAACCTGATCCCTGTCCATCAAGTGAGTGACGGTTCTGTTGATCCAACAACAGGTTCCGGATTAATTCTTCTGCTAAACGGGACCCTGGGGTGGGGTTACCCTATGACTCCTGGGAGGTTGTTTTTGAGGGATTGTTTCTGGGGAATTGTTTTTGGGGGGTTGTGTCTGGCGATCATTTCATGACTCTTTCCCCTCATCTCCCTTATCAGCTCATCGTTGCCCCATCCATCCATGGGTGTGTATACCCCTTCCCCATCCATGGGTGTGTATACCTCTTCCCCATCCATGGGTGTGTATACCTCTTCCCCATCCATGGGTGTGTATACCCCTTCCCCATCCATGGGTGTGTATACCTCTTCCCCATCCATGGGTGTGTATACCTCTTCCCCATCCATGGGTGTGTATACCTCTTCCCCATCCATGGGTGTGTATACCCCTTCCCCATCCATGGGTGTGTATACCCCTTCCCCATCCATGGGTGTGTATACCTCTTCCCCATCCAGGGGTGTGTATACCTCTTCCCCATCCATGGGTGTGTATACCCCTTCCCCATCCATGGGTGTGTATACCTCTTCCCCATCCATGGGTGTGTATACCCGTTCCCCATCCATGGGTATGTATACCCCTTCCCCATCCATGGGTGTGTATACCCCTTCCCCATCCATCGGTGTGTATACCCCTTCCCCATCCATCGGTGTGTATACCCCTTCCCCATCCATGGGTGTGTATACCCCTTCCCCATCCATGGGTGTGTATACCCCTTCCCCATCCATGGGTGTGTATACCCCTTCCCCATCCATGGGTGTGTATACCCCTTCCCCATCCATGGGTGTGTATACCCCTTCCCCATCCATGGGTGTGTATACCCCTTCCCCATCCATGGGTGTGTATACCCCTTCCCCATCCATGGGTGTGTATACCCCTTCCCCATCCATGGGTGTGTAAACCCCTTCCCCATCCATCGGTGTGTATACCCCTTCCCCATCCATGGGTGTGTATACCCCTTCCCCATCCATGGGTGTGTATACCCCTTCCCCATCCATGGGCGTGTATACTCCTTCCCCATCCATGGGTGTGTATACATACCCTTTCCCCATCCATGGGTGTGTATACCCCTTCCCCATCCATGGGTGTGTATACCCCTTCCCCATCCATGGCTGTGTATACCCCTTCCCCATCCATGGGTGTGTATACCCCTTCCCCATCCATGGGTGTGTATACCCCTTCCCCATCCATGGGTGTGTATACCCCTTCCCCATCCATGGGTGTGTATACCCCTTCCCCATCCATGGGTGTGTATACCCCTTCCCCATCCATGGGTGTGTATACCCCTTCCCCATCCATGGGTATGTATACCCCTTCCCCATCCATGGGTGTGTATACCCCTTCCCCATCCATGGGTGTGTATACCCGTTCCCCATCCATGGGTGTGTATATCCCTTCCCCATCCATGGGTGTGTATACCCCTTCCCCATCCATGGGTGTGTATACCCCTTCCCCATCCATGGGTGTGTATACCCCTTCCCCATCCATGGGTGTGTATACATACCCTTTCCCCATCCATGGGTGTGTATACCCCTTCCCCATCCATGGGTGTGTATACCCCTTCCCCATCCATGGCTGTGTATACCCCTTCCCCATCCATGGGTGTGTATACCCCTTCCCCATCCATGGCTGTGTATACCCCTTCCCCATCCATGGGTGTGTATACCCCTTCCCCATCCATGGGTGTGTATACCCCTTCCCCATCCATGGGTGTGTATACCCCTTCCCCATCCATGGGTGTGTATACCCCTTCCCCATCCATGGGTGTGTATACCCCTTCCCCATCCATGGGTGTGTATACCCCTTCCCCATCCATGGGTGTGTATACCCCTTCCCCATCCATGGGTATGTATACCCCTTCCCCATCCATGGGTGTGTATACCCCTTCCCCATCCATGGGTGTGTATACCCGTTCCCCATCCATGGGTGTGTATACCCTTCCCCATCCATGGGTGTGTATACCCCTTCCCCATCCATGGGTGTGTATACCCCTTCCCCATCCATGGGTGTGTATACCCCTTCCCCATCCATGGGTGTGTATACCCGTTCCCCATCCATGGGTGTGTATACCCCTTCCCCATCCATGGGTGTGTATACCCCTTCCCCATCCATGGGTGTGTATAACCCCTTCCCCCTCCATGGGTGTGTATACCTCTTCCCCATCCATGGGTGTGTATACCTCTTCCCCATCCATGGGTGTGTATACCTCTTCCCCATCCATGGGTGTGTATACCCCTTCCCCATCCATGGGTGTGTATACCCCTTCCCCATCCATGGGTGTGTATACCTCTTCCCCATCCAGGGGTGTGTATACCTCTTCCCCATCCATGGGTGTGTATACCCCTTCCCCATCCATGGGTGTGTATACCTCTTCCCCATCCATGGGTGTGTATACCCGTTCCCCATCCATGGGTATGTATACCCCTTCCCCATCCATGGTGTGTATACCCCTTCCCCATCCATCGGTGTGTATACCCCTTCCCCATCCATCGGTGTGTATACCCCTTCCCCATCCATGGGTGTGTATACCCCTTCCCCATCCATGGGTGTGTATACCCCTTCCCCATCCATGGGTGTGTATACCCCTTCCCCATCCATGGGTGTGTATACCCCTTCCCCATCCATGGGTGTGTATACCCCTTCCCCATCCATGGGTGTGTATACCCCTTCCCCATCCATGGGTGTGTATACCCCTTCCCCATCCATGGGTGTGTAAACCCCTTCCCCATCCATCGGTGTGTATACCCCTTCCCCATCCATGGGTGTGTATACCCCTTCCCCATCCATGGGTGTGTATACCCCTTCCCCATCCATGGGCGTGTATACCCCTTCCCCATCCATGGGTGTGTAATACATACCCTTTCCCCATCCATGGGTGTGTATACCCCTTCCCCATCCATGGGTGTGTATACCCCTTCCCCATCCATGGCTGTGTATACCCCTTCCCCATCCATGGGTGTGTATACCCGTTCCCCATCCATGGGTGTGTATACCCCTTCCCCATCCATGGGTGTCTATACCCCTTCCCCATCCATGGGTGTGTATACCCCTTCCCCCTCCATGGGTGTGTATACCCCTTCCCCCTCCATGGGTGTGTATACCCCTTCCCCATCCATGGGTGTGTATACCCCTTCCCCATCCATGGGTGTGTATACCTCTTCCCCATCCATGGGTGTGTATACCCCTTCCCCATCCATGGGTGTGTATACCCCTTCCCCATCCATGGGTGTGTATACCTCTTCCCCATCCAGGGGTGTGTATACCTCTTCCCCATCCATGGGTGTGTATACCCCTTCCCCATCCATGGGTGTGTATACCTCTTCCCCATCCATGGGTGTGTATACCCGTTCCCCATCCATGGGTATGTATACCCTTCCCCATCCATGGGTGTGTATACCCCTTCCCCATCCATCGGTGTGTATACCCCTTCCCCATCCATGGGTGTGTATACCCCTTCCCCATCCATGGGTGTGTATACCCCTTCCCCATCCATGGGTGTGTATACCCGTTCCCCATCCATGGGTGTGTATACCCCTTCCCCATCCATGGGTGTCTATACCCCTTCCCCATCCATGGGTGTGTATACCGACGTCACAGTCACCGACCCCATCTCACCCAGTGACCCAACAACACGAAAGGGGAATGGGTGGATGGTGGCAGAGATGCAGGGCAAGAAGCGGGACCTGTACGATGAACGAATAACCTTCGTGAAGGTGCTGGGAGTCGCCACAGAGACATATGGCTGCTGCTCCCCCGACACACTCGAGTTCCTCCGAGTACTGGCTGCCCTCTCAGCCCGCCGGAACAACAAGGCCGATGAGAAATCGGCGGTGGCAAAGAAGGTACTGCACAGCTACCGCCAGAGATGGTCTATCACCCTCCAGCGGCAGCAAGCAATCACCCTCCATGTGAAAGTTAGCCAGGTAACAGGCCAAGCTTTCAGCCACGACCGCCCCCTAGACAAACCCCTTGCTTGGGGAGAACTAGAGGCCACCATTGAACCTACCTGCGTCGGGTGGCCTGGGCAGCAGTAGGATGCCCGGGAGCCCTAGGACATGCATCGCCCCGCTTGTACCCCTGTACCCTTTATAATCATAATAAAGGACCGCTTGAGAGAGAGAGAGAGAGAGAGAGAGAGAGAGAGAGAGAGAGAGAGAGAGAGAGAGAGAGAGAGAGAGAGAGAGAGAGAGAGAGAGAGAGAGAGAGAGAAGAGGATGGCAACGAGAGAGGGGAGGGGTTAGAAAAAGGGCAACGGTAGGGCAGCTAAATGGAGCTCTACAATTACTCCTTGGATGCTTGATGGAGCTCGTGGAGAACAATTCCCAGCGATTTTTGGAACAACTTGATCTTTTGCGAAGCCCGCATGTGCTTATCAGGTTTTGGCAATATGGCAAGGAGTACTTTCCCTGTGTTCTGCCAATGTCGGTGCCATGGAATATTGGCTGCAGATATGTACACGGGTCATATCTTGGTTCGCATTGTACCATCGAGAGTCGTCTGGTCACTTGCAAGGATCATTGGACATATAACTTCGCCATCCGGCACACAGACCTCCTGGACGCAAACCATTATTGTAGGAAAATGTTCCAGCATTGGGACAAGGCAGGTGGCATTACAAAGCCAACATAGACCACAAGCAAAGGGCGTGTAGCATCTAGTCACAGAGGCTAGGATAGGCAACCCCGATGTCTATCTTCCAACAAATGGGAGGGGGCCGACGGGTGCAAGGCGTGGACAATCTGTTGCAGTAGGCAATACAAGAACAGCATAAACACCTGAGCTTCCACCCGGAAGCTTGCAGTGCTGGGCGTTGTAAAAATGAGATTGCCAATGGCATCTTTTTGTGGATTGGCCCATATTTGGAACCCGGTTGTATTGCTGGAATATCCAAACAGGTCCCGCAAAGCTAGTACGGGGCTAGTATATTTAACATAGAAGGGCCACTGCCAGCCATCGATGTGCACCTCCCGAATAGTGTATGTCCTCCCACCAAGCCCCGTGGTAACAGTGTCTGGCCATACTCGATGGCCGCTGGCTTTGAGTGTCAGTTGGCGATTCTAGACAAATGTTTATCATTAGCATGCAGAACTTGAGAAGTCGGCAGGTGTCAGGAGCCGACAACTGATTGCCTCTGTTATACGCCATAATGAGGAGATATAACTCGAGAGCCATATCAAAGGATGGTGTTGGGTTGTATCCGTGCTCGCAAGTACTCCTCCCTTTGCTGCCACTGTCACTGGAATGGCCAGATTCGCTCCTCTGAGCAGAGCTTGAGGTGGTTTGCATGTTAGGTGGCTCAATGGGTGGGCTTCTGTTGTTGTGGCCAAGTGGTGCCCTGGATTGGCAGGCACGATCATCGCCTGGTGGGTCTACAAACGTGGCATATGGCCCTACGAAAATACCCAACTTGAAGCTCCGTTCCTTAGCCAAGCGGCAATCCTCATCCGTAATCGTGTGCGACCATAGCGGGCCACAACCTCGGAACGAACAGCCACACCATTCGCACAGAACCTTGCAGCATTTCATGCTTATAGGTCACGTGGCATGTTGCTGTAGGCTAACATGCGTTAAAGATCTAGGATGGCACCCTTGCTTGGCAAGAAGAACGAGGATACCTACTACGGATAGAGTTAATAGACCGACTCGCGACACCTCCATGGCTGAACGCAAGAACCTAATCTAAACCGCCATCCTATGGAATCGTGTGCTGTGAAATCGAGCTACAAGCTAAGAAATTGCAAGTATCGAACACGCTGTGTATTGTCGCGGACATCGGGACTTCAGTGTTGGGAGGACTAGATGTGATATGAGGAAAGTTTTTGGCGCAACTAACGTGGGTAAACACCCCACCTATATGTCAAATACAGGGATGCTTCGTAGTGAGATATAATGGAGTTACGATCCCCAACAACGGATTTGAGCCAGTTAGCTACTCAACTGTATAGCTCGTGACATGTCCAGAGGCTCTGGGCAATGCCGTTGAGAATCCACGCCACGTTATGCGGCACGCATTTATAAAACCTTCTAAATCCAGCCCCCCCCCCCCCCTCCCCCCTCCTTCGAACGCCGTAAAAATTGTGGCACGTATCTAGAGCCTTGTTTTGATCTGTTTAGCATGCACAAGTCAGCTGCAGTGAACACCAACCACTGCCCCGAACATAATTTGAGCCCGAGGTTACAGCCACTGAGTATTCGGGTACACCTAGAACTGTAGTATTTGCATTCGAGGGCAACACAGCTGCCCCAACTACAATTCGCTCTAGGAGGAGCACTCGCATTAAGCCGACCATAAGCTCGTGTTCCAATCTGACGTGCGGTGACGCAAGAAACACGACCCTTTGTGTCATGTGCTCGTGGCGACACCTAAATTTCGTGCAGCCAACCCTGGTCATCACATGAAGGGCACAAAATGTGTATTACAGCGTAGCTTGTCGTTCAGGTGTTTTGCCGCGTAGCCAGATGGCACAGTGCAGGCATCGTGAGCGCATCTGCAATTCCAAATCCGGAGCAAGGTCACCCAATGCCTTGGGCACCTATTTCAGCTCGAGAAATGTCAGATGGAAATCAGGTTTGAGGATTTTCCACATTTGCAGTAACGTAGCTACCAGGCCAGGTTTTACGAAGAAAAGCAGAGAAGCTATGGCTGAGGTTGGAAAGCGCAAGCGGAGCTCAGAGTCTAACTCTTGAAGAACCAGGACGGTACTTCAGCAAACGTTTGCATGGAGAAATAGGGAAATAACCGCTCTACTGATGCAGCGAAAGTTTGTGAGCTGCCACTACCAAGATGTGGAACCAACACCCAAACTTCTACTGGCAGCACTAGAGCCACTCAGCATCTCCGACACTGGAAGCGCATCAGAGAAACGTTCTCGCTGTGAAATCAATGCAAGGAGGATACGCACCAGACAAGGGCAAGCTAACTTGGATTTCATACACAAGAAAATTGTAAACGCTTTGTATGCTTACGAACTTGAGGGCAGTGCAAATACCGATACAGCATGATTCATTGCACTCATAAAGGATTACCGGTCCGTCAACTTCCATGCAACAACCTGGGACGATCTCATAAAACCGATGCCATATGATGCTGATTTCGATGATTTTCTATTGCTCTTTACCGGATGGTTACGGCATCCCCCTAGGCGCACTTGCACATGCGCCGGGCCTACTTGCTCCATGGGAAGAAAAGCCAACCCCACAATCACTACACCCTGTTCCTGGCAAACCCAACGCATTTTATTGCATACCTGCCCTTCCCGAGTTCCCGTGTCTCAAGGACCAATCGTTTCATACGAAAGGATTCGACACATACTCATTGGATGATGAATTCAATCCTCGTTCCAAAAGTCAGCCTCTAGGCTTTAGGAAGGTTGCGCCAATACGTAGATGGTATTAGGTCTATCAACAAGGCTGCATAACCTTCACTTTGACTTTTTTTGCAGTGTGTGTGTTTTTTTTTTGTGACTTTTTTTTTATGTAAAGTACACTTTTTGAATTCCCCCCCATTTGCTGGAATTTGATACCATTACCCAACTGCCCAGTGTCAAACTGGGGTGACCACGTAGGCTGGTCATGATCCACTTTGTTCACGTTACAGCACATGTTGCCATATCATGTGGACGTGGGCTGGCTTCGTATGCTCGTGAACAATTGCCCCTTATTATTATCAGTTGACTCCAATCGGCTAGCCGGGCACTGGAATTCGACCACTGTCCAGCAAGGCATAGGTAGCTTTCTTGGATTGCAATCCAATCTTGCTGTTTCTAAAGGCACGCCTCTAGTGCCTTCTTGAATGGCACACACCATATTACGTTTATAGGATCATCACTTCTTCATTCTTGCATGACACATCCCTCCACTGGTTGCAAACTCTGTGTTAGTGCTTTCTTGAATAACACCTCATCCTTGCTTTCTTGATAATCTCGCCAGTCTGAAGGTGTTTATGATACAGACATCAACCTTCTAACCTCCCTCTCGGCTCAACCATGCAATCTCGTTAGATTGCGACCATGCAAGCTCGTTAGATTGCGCAACCCCTTATCCCTCTTATAGTTGCAGCCCGCATGCTTTCCTGCGTAGACCGCATAGGCTCGCAACCCTTCGAGGTGAGAGGCTCTAGCCCGGTTGGCTGATCAGCACCATGTCCACATTGTGGCAATCATTATGTCGAGGAGCCGGCCGTTCCACGAGGTGGGGTGACTTCGAGGTCTATGAGTCGCCATCAACCGGGCATGTTGTACGCACTGGGCATGCCGGACTAATAGAGTCGTCAGAGAGCTTCCACGGAAGGGATTCAGGCTTCATGTCATTCGCAAGTGAACTCAAAGGGCACAGTATGGCATGAGAAGACGAGATAGACACAACGGGGGATGACAACGAAGAGATGACGGCGGGTAAGTGAGCAGGGTAGGCACGCTAGAGTGGGACAGGGAGGGTTGAGGGGGAGAGGGAGGTTGGAATGTTTTTGGGGGGTGGGAAAGGGGAGAAGGGCAGCGGTGTTTTGAGCACCCTGAGGGCATTCGTGTGTAAGAATTTAAATTATTTGCATGATAAGACTGAGCTTTGTCCCATACTTTACAAGATGTAGTATGGGGTGCTTTAACTTGCACACTAGCTGCCCCCCTCTCAGCGTGCATCCCTTGGCCCCCGTGTTTCTCACCAGGTGGAACACCACCAAGGAATGAGCGTCCTTTGGCTGAGATGACTGCCTGCACCGCTCCTCCAGGCACTCCAATACTAACGCACTTCACAGGGGACCTGGCAGCGGCAGCGGCAACTGCAACAGCCACAAGAAAACAGGGAGCGCATAAGCATGCAGCTGCGTGTGAACCTGCCCATTCCAAGTGTGGTGACCGTACGCCTGTCACTCAGCCCCCGAGCTTCGTGCAACTACAGCAAGAAAACGAGGCTTAAAAAAAACGCTGGTGGGAGTCACAGGCGAGGGCAACCAGAATCGCGGGTCACCATGGTGCGAAGCCACATGGGCATCGGCGCCACAAGGCACGTCGGCTGCACACCTCACCAACTCGGGATGATGGTGCTGGCACACATCAGCAGCCAACGAATCTCAACCATTGTTCAATGCCGGCCGCTGTAGCGAGGGCAGTCGATTGTGAGCTGCATCGTCGGGGTGGCACTCATTGGCAGTGGGATGTCAACAGGATGCGCACTGAATGGCCTGACAGGATGGAATCCGCTCTAAAGACCATACCCTATGTGTACTCAGGATTTAAGGTGTGTAGTTACGCTACTTCTTGACTCCGGTTTCCACACATGTGGCTGTTGTGTTACATGTGGATGCAGCTTTTGGTGTCATCTTCCACCTTGCCACCAGCACCTGCCCTCTTGCACCTTGCCTCCGTGCCCTGCCCTGTTGCACCTTGGCACGTGCATCTGCCCTCTTGCACCTTGCCACCAGCACCTGCCGTCTTGTGCCTTGCCACCAGCACCTGCCCTCTTGCACCTTGCCACCAGCACCTTGTTGGAGATAGGCTGCAATTCGGTTGGCACAACTTCGTGTGTTAGGAATTTGTTGGTTTTAGGGTTAGGCATATTTGTTAGGTTGGGTGTAGCTTTGTTTTCATCCCCAACCTATCCCAACCCAATCCATCCCAAATCCCCTCCGATTTGGGGGGATTCCCTTGGGATTCCCTCCAATTCTCCCTTATCCCTTCCCATCCTCTCTGATGCTCGGTACTTAAGGTTGTATGCTCTTGCTCATTCATCAATGAAGCTCTCATTTTATAACACACCTACCCTCTTGCACATTGCCACCAGCTCCTGCCCTCTTGCACCTTGGCCTGTGCACCTGCCCTCTTGCACGTTTCCACCAGCACCTGCCCTCTTGCACCTTGGAGCCAGCACCTGCGCTCTTACACCTTGCCACCAGTACCTGCCCTCTTGCACCTTGCCACCAGCACCTGCCCTCTTGTGCCTTGCCACCAGCACCTGTCCTCTTGCACCTTGGCACGTGCACCTGTCCTCTTGCACCTTGCCACCACCACCTGCCCACTTGCACCTTGGCACGTGCACCTGCCCTCTTGCACCTTGCCACCAGCTCCTGTCCTCTTGCACCTTGCCACCAGCACCTGCCCTCTTTCACCTTGGAGTCAGCACCCGACCTTATGGATCTTGCGACCAACACCTGCCCTCTGGTGCCTTGCCACCAGCTCCTGCCCTCATGCACCTTGCCTGCTGCACCTGCCCTCTTGCACCAAGGAGCAAGCACCTGGGAAAACCAACGGAGATGGGGGGGCACGGAAGCTTGCAAGAAAATGGCTGATAGCGTGTCTAGCGAGCGAGCGGAAGGGTTACAGTGGGAATGTGGCAATCTCAATTTTGCTGGCAATACTTGTACATAGAAATACGCTCAGATCCCGCCCCTTAGACTGAGTGGGTAACACATGGTAGAGGCCATCGCAGAGTTGTCATTCCTGGGCTGCACATAGCGGCAATGGATACCTTGGCGCCGGACGTCTCATTCCAGGCAGGGAGCTTGGGCTTTCGCACAGCGGGATCAGCGGGTCAGTGCAACGCGGGGGCTGATATGACCGCATCTCACGGCTATTATATTCGCCTCCATTCATCCACCTTATACCGTGAGCGGCATCCCTGATTATGTACCCTCATGCCCCTCCCATCACATTATTATTCTACCTCCCAATCTTATGTCCATCTTGCACTCCTTTTCATCCATCCTGCCTATGGTCGATTTTGCATCTCCTTCCTCAAATCCCCTGCTACCCCCTTTTTACAAGGGCACGGCCGGTCCATGTGATGGCAACATAGTCCGCCCCGCGAGTGCGTCTAGCGTCTCAGTTGTCGTCGTGTCTGTACCGAGGGTGGCGAAACTGTACCAGGGGGGGGGGGGGGGGGGGGGGGTTGATCTTCTTCAACGATTTTCACTAGCACGCATGGCGGGAACCTAGGAACTTGCTTTGGCCGTCGAATGAGAGCAATACGACGCCTGTGGCGTATGTGTTTGGGAGACTTCGGCGGGATTTGGGGAATCCGACCTGCAAAATCAAATGTGAAGCATAGGTGATGCTCATACCCTGTACACACCGTCCTCTTATTTGACAAGATGACTTCCACACATTTTACAACACCTCGAACTACCAATTCCCCCTCATATATACCATAATAATAGCGTAACCGAAAAGAAGCGCACGTTGGTAATATCTACAATCGCGTCGTGACAGTATTGAAGGGCTAAATTTAGTCACAGTGTGAATATACCGTAAATGTCTCTTGACAATACTGAAGGCTCATTTTTGTCACGGTTAGCCTGGTTAATATACCATCTACTTGTATGCGTCGATCTCTGTACTCTAAACGCCCACGCACTACCGAATTTGCGGGGCGTATTCCTTGCGTGTTTGGTGGGTGCTGCAGCGCAGTGCTGAAAGAATGCAAAGGGCTTCTTTGTGCACACCCTGGTTTTCGAGCACGAAACTTTGGGATGCCATCGCTGCAGTCAACTTTCTCCGCCGTAACGCCGCTGTAGGATCATCCCAAGACAATGCATTGGTAGCTTGACTACCCATCGGGACGCGACGTAGTACTGTACTTGACAATGCAGTGGTAGCTTTCCCGTCCTACCTACTAGGTCTGACTGTACCCTCAGTCGATCGCCAAAGGCTCAGGGCTCAGGACACAGCGTCGCGTTTCGAACACCACCTGCGAGGTGCTAGTAACGAGATGTTCTTAACAATGTTCCTACCCGTCGGGCAAAACGGCAACTTCTCCTCCTGCTCGTTTTCCTCTCCCTCGCAGCAACCCGCCTTGCTCCCGCCTTTGGTACACCCATTTCACTCGGGCTCTTCCCACTTTCGCCCTTTCGACTCTCGCGTCCCTCGCTCCTCTCTATCTACCGCAACAAGAAAGATGGCTCTCAAAATAAGTAGGCTCGCACTCTCTTTCGTGACTTGAAAGGGCGTGAATCTACTCACGAACGCCTCACCAGAGTTTTCCTCTTTGACTGCACTCTCGTCCTTCTCTCCTCTTTCCCTCCCCTCTAACTCTCCGCTTCTAACGCGGATGCTCAAGCTCAACCTTTGCGTTGCTCCTCTGCTCTCCTCGCCGCTGGCTTCTGACCATTCAGACGAGGACTCCCCTCCACCACACGATTCACCGCCATCAGAAGTATCAACGGCCACTGTTTCCGAACCTGATCCGAAGCCTGATGCTGGGTCCGACTCCAAACCTGATCCCTGTCCATCAAGTGAGTGACGGTTCTGTTGATCCAACAACAGGTTCCGGATTAATTCTTCTGCTAACGGGACCCTGGGGTGGGGTTACCCTATGACTCCTGGGAGGTTGTTTTTGAGGGATTGTTTCTGGGGAATTGTTTTGGGGGGTTGTGTCTGGCGATCATTTCATGACTCTTTCCCCTCATCTCCCTTATCAGCTCATCGTTGCCCCATCCATCCATGGGTGTGTATACCCCCTTCCCCCATCCATGGGTGTGTATACCTCTCTCCCCATCCATGGGTGTGTATACCTCTTCCCCATCCATGGGGTGTGTAGTACCCCTTCCCCATCCATGGGTTATACCTCTTCCCCATCATGGGTGTGTTACCTCTTCCCCCATCATGGGTGTGTATACTCTCTTCCCCATCCATGGGTGTGTATACCCTCTTCCCCATCCATGGGTGTGTATACCCCTTCCCATCCATGGGTGGTGGATATACCTCTTTGCCCCATCATGTGGGTGTGTATACCCCTTCCCCATCCATGGGTGTGTATACCCTTCCCCATCCATGGGTGTGTATACCCTTCCCCATCCATGGGTGTGTATACCCCTTCCCCATCCATGGGTGTGTATACCCCTTCCCCATCCATGGGTGTGTATACCCCTTCCCCATCCATGGGTGTGTATACCCCTTCCCCATCCATGGGTGTGTATACCCCTTCCCCATCCATGGGTGTGTATACCCCTTCCCCATCCATGGGTGTGTATACCCCTTCCCCATCCATGGGTGTGTATACCCCTTCCCCATCCATGGGTGTGTATACCCTTCCCCATCCATGGGTGTGTATACCCCTTCCCCATCCATGGGTGTGTATACCCCTTCCCCATCCATGGGTGTGTATACCCCTTCCCCATCCATGGGTGTGTATACCCTTCCCCATCCATGGGTGTGTATACCCCTTCCCCATCCATGGGTGTGTATACCCCTTCCCCATCCATGGGTGTGTATACCCCTTCCCCATCCATGGGGTGTATACCCCTTCCCCATCCATGGGTGTGTATATACCCTTCCCCATCCATGGGTGTGTATACCCCTTCCCCATCCATGGGTGTGTATACCCCTTCCCCATCCATGGGTGTGTATACCCCTTCCCCATCCATGGGTGTGTATACCCCTTCCCCATCCATGGGTGTGTATACCCCTTCCCCATCCATGGGTGTGTATACCCCTTCCCCATCCATGGGTGTGTATACCCCTTCCCCATCCATGGGTGTGTATACCCCTTCCCCATCCATGGGTGTGTATACCCCTTGTATACCCCTTCCCCATCCATGGGTGTGTATACCCCTTCCCCATCCATGGGTGTGTATACCCTTCCCCATCCATGGGTGTGTATACCCCTTCCCCATCCATGGGTGTGTATACCCCTTCCCCATCCATGGGTGTGTATACCCCTTCCCCATCCATGGGTGTGTATACCCCTTCCCCATCCATGGGTGTGTATATACCCTTCCCCATCCATGGGTGTGTATACCCCTTCCCCATCCATGGGTGTGTATACCCCTTCCCCATCCATGGGTGTGTATACCCCTTCCCCATCCATGGGTGTGTATACCCCTTCCCCATCCATGGGTGTGTATACCCCTTCCCCATCCATGGGTGTGTATACCCCTTCCCCATCCATGGGTGTGTATACCCCTTCCCCATCCATGGGTGTGTATACCCCTTCCCCATCCATGGGTGTGTATACCCCTTCCCCATCCATGGGTGTGTATACCCCTTCCCCATCCATGGGTGTGTATACCCCTTCCCCATCCATGGGTGTGTATACCCCTTCCCCATCCATGGGTGTGTATACCCTTCCCCATCCATGGGTGTGTATACCCCTTCCCCATCCATGGGTGTGTATACCCTTCCCCATCCATGGGTGTGTATACCCCTTCCCCATCCATGGGTGTGTATACCCCTTCCCCATCCATGGGTGTGTATACCCCTTCCCCATCCATGGGTGTGTATACCCCTTCCCCATCCATGGGTGTGTATACCCTTCCCCATCCATGGGTGTGTATACCCCTTCCCCATCCATGGGTGTGTATACCCCTTCCCCATCCATGGGTGTGTATACCCCTTCCCCATCCATGGGTGTGTATACCCTTCCCCATCCATGGGTGTGTATACCCTTCCCCATCCATGGGTGTGTATACCCTTCCCCATCCATGGGTGTGTATACCCCTTCCCCATCCATGGGTGTGTATACCCCTTCCCATCCATGGGTGTGTATACCCTTCCCCATCCATGGGTGTGTATACCCTTCCCCATCCATGGGTGTGTATACCCCTTCCCCATCCATGGGTGTGTATACCCCTTCCCCATCCATGGGTGTGTATACCCCTTCCCCATCCATGGGTGTGTATACCCCTTCCCCATCCATGGGTGTGTATACCCCTTCCCCATCCATGGGTGTGTATACCCTTCCCCATCCATGGGTGTGTATACCCCTTCCCCATCCATGGGTGTGTATACCCTTCCCCATCCATGGGTGTGTATACCCCTTCCCCATCCATGGGTGTGTATACCCCTTCCCCATCCATGGGTGTGTATACCCCTTCCCCATCCATGGGTGTGTATACCCCTTCCCCATCCATGGGTGTGTATACCCCTTCCCCATCCATGGGTGTGTATACCCCTTCCCCATCCATGGGTGTGTATACCCCTTCCCCATCCATGGGTGTGTATACCCCTTCCCCATCCATGGGTGTGTATACCCCTTCCCCATCCATGGGTGTGTATACCCCTTCCCCATCCATGGGTGTGTATACCCTTCCCCATCCATGGGTGTGTATACCCCTTCCCCATCCATGGGTGTGTATACCCCTTCCCCATCCATGGGTGTGTATACCCCTTCCCCATCCATGGGTGTGTATACCCCTTCCCCATCCATGGGTGTGTATACCCTTCCCCATCCATGGGTGTGTATACCCCTTCCCCATCCATGGGTGTGTATACCCCTTCCCCATCCATGGGTGTGTATACCCCTTCCCCATCCATGGGTGTGTATACCCCTTCCCCATCCATGGGTGTGTATACCCCTTCCCCATCCATGGGTGTGTATACCCTTCCCCATCCATGGGTGTGTATACCCCTTCCCCATCCATGGGTGTGTATACCCTTCCCCATCCATGGGTGTGTATACCCCTTCCCCATCCATGGGTGTGTATACCCTTCCCCATCCATGGGTGTGTATACCCTTCCCCATCCATGGGTGTGTATACCCCTTCCCCATCCATGGGTGTGTATACCCTTCCCCATCCATGGGTGTGTATACCCTTCCCCATCCATGGGTGTGTATACCCCTTCCCCATCCATGGGTGTGTATACCCCTTCCCCATCCATGGGTGTGTATACCCCTTCCCCATCCATGGGTGTGTATACCCTTCCCCATCCATGGGTGTGTATACCCCTTCCCCATCCATGGGTGTGTATACCCTTCCCCATCCATGGGTGTGTATACCCCTTCCCCATCCATGGGTGTGTATACCCCTTCCCCATCCATGGGTGTGTATACCCCTTCCCCATCCATGGGTGTGTATACCCCTTCCCCATCCATGGGTGTGTATACCCCTTCCCCATCCATGGGTGTGTATACCCCTTCCCCATCCATGGGTGTGTATACCCCTTCCCCATCCATGGGTGTGTATACCCCTTCCCCATCCATGGGTGTGTATACCCCTTCCCCATCCATGGGTGTGTATACCCCTTCCCCATCCATGGGTGTGTATACCCCTTCCCCATCCATGGGTGTGTATACCCCTTCCCCATCCATGGGTGTGTATACCCTTCCCCATCCATGGGTGTGTATACCCCTTCCCCATCCATGGGTGTGTATACCCCTT